AAAAAAAAAAACAAAAAAAAAACCAGCTGGTCAGCTAGTTTGTAACAAAATATTTGTGTAAAAAAATATACTTGCATAATTTTATTCTCAGTCTACACCAGGTTACTAAAGCGGAGGTGCTATCCTGAATGCCACAGAAAAGCCTAAGTAGAGATCAATAAAAGAATACTGAAAATAAACCTCTAAAATAACTTGTATATTCCAGAAAGAGTTTGATGCCAAGTGGAATAAAAACTAATTCTGCACAACAGAACACATTAAAGCCATCAGGTCTACAAAGCTACGTAATTAAAGATTTCTATAGAGATCCCAAATCGACCCGACTTATTTCAAGAGCATCTCAAATAAATTCTCAATGCAGACTGAGAAGATCAAAGCATGAAGTTTCACCTGTTGAGCTAGGAATCCTGCAAATGAAGACACAACTATTTCATATCTGTTCTCTAAAATGCTGGAAACTTGCCTTAACAAATCTAGCTGCATACTACTGATGAAAAGAGCTTTTTTGCTCCCTTCCCTTTCCACACACCATGGCACTCATCTGTTCTACTCTTGAGCAAGTCTAGGAAGTAAGTTGGCAAAAATTACATTGTAAATTAGTAATTTTCTGCGAAATCAGTATCCTGAACTAGCTCACCATAGGATGAGTCAGCATTTAGTGCCAGCACAAGGGAAGCAAAAGGGACACAAGGAGTGCTTGGAAAGCAGGACCACAGTTTTCAGTACAGCCTGCATTTAGTTAAGACTGGCTCAGTTGCATCACCAAATTGCATTCTGAGAACGGTACGTCCTAAAGAAATACGCTCGTTCACAACCTTAATTCCCTTAAGCTCCACAGACTTTCGGCACATCACTTATCCCATATTATTTATGTGGGCACCAGCAGGTTCAACAGCACACAGGTGACTGGGCAAGGGAGGCAGACAGCTACACATGCCTGGCCAGCATGTTGTCTGAATTCTGAGTAAGTGGCTAAAAGCACCACGAAATAAAGGAAGATGGTTGTGCCTTGCTACTCAGAATAATGGCAGAGTGCGACAGCAGTACAACTGCTAAGATTAAAGCAAAAGGCAGGCAACAGAAAAGATCTTCCAGAAAAGAAAAAGTCATAAACATGAAATCGGTGCCTGCCATTTGAAAGTGTCTCTTGCAGATGATCTGCCTCAAGTATACTCACTAGCTAAGGCACAGCACTATGAAAACAAGCTAAGTCACTTGGGCATCCATGCTTGGCTAATTCGGCACTCCAGGTTTCACAAGGACATTTCCTTGGATAAGGTGACAAAAACCGAGCCAGATCCATGCACTTTCTGCACCACTGTTGAGCTAACAACCCGCCGTGGAAACATGACACTGAAGAACATGGTGCAGAGATGCCAGAGCACTCAGCTCAGCAG